TATAGTTCCAAGTCCATGGAAAAGATGTTCATGTTCTTGAACAAGAGTTTCTATATTAGTAGACATTGATTCATTTACATGATTTACCTTTTTAATTATACCTAGTTCAAAACTAGCCTTGCCTCCCAACAAAGACTCAACTTTTTTATCAATCACATAAATTTCTTCTGAAACTGAATTTTCTTTCCAAGAAATCACAGCATTGAAATAACCATAACATGGAAGAGGTCTATCTTGACCATAGGCAAAAAAGGTTCGGGTGGTGTCATGTAATTTTGGCATAATTTTATGGCCATATAATTCAAGCATCTCATAATAGCTTATGAAAGTTCTATCACTCCCTGTATCAATTATCATATTTATTTCACTACCATCTATTTGCACTTTTTCTTTATTTTCAGCACCTGTATAGTAGGTATATTCATCTGAACTTTCACCTACTTCAGTCTTATTTTCTTCTTGTATGGTCTTAACTTTAGTTTGATTGAAACTTTTGTGGTTTCTATTATTATTTTGATTTGGGCGGTTCCTGCAAGCTCTAAAAAGATGTCCTAATTTATTGCAATATGAACAAGTCATTTTTTTAGCACCACATTCTTGTGCTGAATGTGTATCTAATCCACAGCGATAACATTTAGGCTTTGAGGCACCTGAAAATGATGGGGTACCTTGATTAGTGAATCTACTTTTGTTGAAATTATTAGCATTATAGTGCTTTTTAGGTTTATTTTGAACTCTATTTAGTGTTTGATCATTTTGAGGTTCAAGAAGTCTAATTTCTTTTCTAGAAATTTCTAACATTCTAGCAATATCAATGGTTTTTGACAGTGTCAAATTTTCTTGTTGCAACAATTTTTCTTTAAGTTTTTTGTTGTTACATTTTTCAATTATTTGGTCTCTTATCATATCAGCTTCTAAATTCCCAAATTCACAAGATTTAGAAAGCTCTCTTAAAGAAATTAGGTAGTTGTCGATCGATTCATCATCTTTCTGGACTCTTTGTCTAAATTTAAATCTCTCAGTGACCACATTTTTATAAGGTGTGAAATATTTATCTAAAGCCATTTTAGTTTGTTCATAATTTTCCTTTTCATCTGGCAAGTTGAAAAATATACGCTGTACATTTGGCCCTAAACAATGCAATAGAGTTGCTCTCTTAATTTCATCCGATTTTTTTGAAATTCCAGATGCTATTTCAAAAATGGCATAGGATTCCATCCATTGCTTATATTCCGCAAATAAATTGCTAGCATTCATATTCATGGGTAACGGTGGCGTCAGGTTGGCTGCCATACTTGTTTTTTTTTTTATTTTTATTTTTTTTTTAGGGCTACAACTATATTTTCAAATTCTCGTCGCCAATTTATGTTGTATAGTTATTATTTAATTAAACATTACTCACCAGATGAAATTATATTACAAATTATTTATTACACTTTATATTTATATTTTTACAACAACACGTTGTTTACATTATACATCGTATATTATTGTTTATGATGATGATCTCTTATATATTTTAAAACACAGAATACTACAGTTGATATGCCACAATGTAACAAGGGTTTAAGTCAAAGTCCAGCTCTATTAATGTACTTTGAGAAGATACAGAGCATCAAGAAAGAGTAGCCAAAGTCCAGCTCTGGAAATGTCTTCTGAAAAGATACAATACATCAAGAATGTATAGCCAAAGTCCATCTCTGGAAACTTTATCTGCAAAATTCCAGCGTAAACAAAGCTATGAAGTCTAAAGTCCAGGTCTAAAAGAGTCCTTTGCGAAATTCCTGTGTAAAGATACGGTGAAACAAGGATTTGTAGCCAAAGTCTAGCTCTGGAAACGTCCTATGAAAAGATACAGCGCTTCAATAATCTGTAGCCAAAGTTCAGCTTTGGAAATATCCTTTGAAAAGATACAATGTAACAAGGCTATGAAGTTCAAATCCAGCTCTCTGAAAGAGTCCTTTGTGAAATCCCTCTGCAAAGATGAAGAGAAGCAACGATTTTTTTGTAGCGAAGGTCTAGCTCTGAAAGAGTCCTTTGCGAAATTCCTCTGTAAAGATACAGTTGTTGTTGTTGTCGTGTCCAATGAAGAGCCTCAGATGTCTCCATGCATCTCCATCACAGCAACAGCAATATCCACTATCTTGGGTGTGTAAAGCTGCTTCTTTTGGTTCATGTCAATTTTCTGCAAGGCTGCGGCCATTGCTGGGCATGAGAATATGTGGGTAGGTGTTAGTTCCACACCAGGGCAGTTGTTACATGTCCTATAGGTTTTTGTGCCATCTGGGTGTATTGTCATTCCTTTATAGTGTTTTGTTCTAAGTCTTGTTATAGTTTTTGTCATTTTTCTCATAAAGATACAGTGAAAAAGGATTTGTAACCAAAGTCCAGATCTGAGAGAGTCCTTTGGGAAATTCATCTGTAAAGCATAACAAGAATGTTTGTGTAACCAAACTCTAAGAACTTCTGTGGTAAGAGCGAATCCAAACAGAGATAAAACTTCCAGAATTCCCCAGTGGAAAACCCAGGAGGCCTTGGCACATTTGAGCGATGGACCTTTCTAATCTTTCCATAAGTCCAAGAAAGATTTCTCGAAGTCTTATCACGGCGTGTTTATAAACGTTGGGCGGATGGCTTCTCTACACGGATGGTCCTCTACACGGATGGTCCTCTACACGGATGGCTTCTCTACACGGATGGTCCTCTACACGGATGGCTTCTCTACACGGATGGCTTCGCTACACGGATGGCTTCTCTACACGGATGGTCCTTTACACGGATGGTCCTCTACACGGATGGCTTCTCTACACGGATGGCTTCGCTACACGGATGGCTTCTCTACACGGATGGTCCTTTACACGGATGGTCCGCTACACGGATGGCTTCTCTACACGGATGGCTTCTCTACACGGATGGCTTCTCTACACGGATTTTCCTCTACACGGATGGTCCGCTACACGGATGGCTTCTCTACACGGATGGTCCGCTACACGGATGGCTTCTCTACACGGATGGTCCGCTACACGGATAGCTTCTCTACACGGATGGCTTCTCTACACGGATGGTTCTCTACACGGATGGTCCGCTACACGGATAGCTTCTCTACACGGATGGCTTCTCTACATGGATGGCTTCTCTACACGGATGGTTCTCTACACGGATGGTCCGCTACACGGATGGCTTCTCTACACGGATGGTCCGCTACACGGATAGCTTCTCTACACGGATGGCTTCTCTACACGGATGGTCGTGCAGCGAAGTCAGAACCATCTCTCGGGGTTAGACCTCTGCACAGACTCAAGGCTCTTCTTCGTCTTTCTTATCTCCACTCAATCATATATCAGGGTATCAAGCCTGCAGAGCTTGAGACTGTGTGATGTAGAATGTCATTAAGACTGGGAGCACTACTCAGTCACTGACTTAGCTCCAATATGAAATGTCTGACATGAGGAACCTGTATCCCTGGAGACCTTACAGGGTACTATCAGCATGGCCAGCTGAGCCCAGGTTTTTTTTAGTGAGCTTGTTATTGCTCCCTCTCCTCCTTTTTTATCCGGGCTTGGGACTGGCAAAGGCGGAGTTCTCAAGGCTTAAATAAGCAAAGAGTTCGTCATAAAGAGATAAAACCTAAAAAAGATTCATACAATCTAAAACAACTAATAATGAAGTTTTCCTAAATAAAATACATAGACATTCCATTTTATAAACGTAAATAGTGATAAAACTCCCCCAAAACGAACTTTTTTAATTATAGCAAAGATAGCTCAAAAGAGGCACCTTTCCCTTTAAATATGAATTAAAACAATGCATTTTGTTTATCATTCCACTATAGAACGATAAGGTGGTGTTAAGGAATAAGCCACGACTCTAATTTAGCAAATTCAGAAATATTTCAACTTGTATACCATGGTGAAAAATGGTGTTTTGGATCATTGTTTATATCACCAACTTTAGGTTTTTTGATGGTATTTCAAATATTTATCAAAATATTCTTCTGTAGATCGATGTAAGGATATATTCTTGCTTGACTACGTTCTAAATCAAGACATCTTCGATTAACAAATTTATTTTATAAAACGACATTTGAAGTTACACCGCATGAGTTTCTTTTAAACGAAAAATCAAAATTTTATTTCGAAGTAAAATATCGACCATTTCTAACCTTTTTGGATGAGGTATGAAAGGTTGAATTATGAAGAGTAATGATGAACGGAATCGATTCCCATCCCTGGACACTTTTATTTTTCCGTTCATCATTACTCTTCATAATTCACCATTTCATACCTCATCCAAAAAGGTTAGAAATGGTCGATATTTCACCTTGAAATAAAATTTTGATTTTTCGTTTAAAAAGAAACTCATGCGGTGTAATTTCAAGTGTCGTTTTACAATCACAGGCCGCAGTGTATTATATTGTATTATAAATTTATTTTATAACAGAATGGAGAAACTTTACATATTAACCTATTTTACATTAATAGAAATTTAAAACAAAAAAACATTACGTACTAATTAGCAGCAAACTCTCTCTAAATCTACAAAACTACATCTGCAAAAACAAACGAGAGTTATAAATATAGTAATTACAATGTTGCCGAATATAATTAAACATAACAAAAACTATTCATAGAAATATATATTCAAATATATTTTGACAATATGTACAGAAGCCGTTGGCCGGATCCCAACATTTTTTACTGAGATAATAAACACATTGGTTTGTTTTACTGCATAGTTGAAGGTATAGATGTTTCTTGATACATGAATAGCATCCTTCCGTAATTTTAAGTTATATTCCTATATTTAACATTGTCTAAGGTTATCTCTAAAGTCGGAATACACATACACACTGTTATAAAACGACATTGGAAAATATCCCGCATGTGTTTCTTTTAAACGAAAAATCGAAATTTAAGGAGAAATAACGACTATTTCTAACCTTAGAGATGAGGTATGAAAGGATGAATTGTGAAGAGTAATGATGAACGGAAAAATAAAAGTGTCCAGGGATGGGAATCGAACCCACAGTGTTCCGCTTACCGGGCAGATGCCATGTCCACTAGGCTACCCTAGACACATTTTTCTGTTCGTAAATATTATACATTGCGTGACATTGAAAATGGAACACCAAGAAATAGTGGCCAGAAAATTATGCAAATTTCAGGGTAGACGCGCCTAACCGAGTTATGCAAATGATGTAAAATGCGCAGCTCTCGTGCGCACATGGAGTAAGATATAAGGGAAGGAACTTGCAGAAAGGACAGTATTCGTGTCGTTATTTCTTCAAGGAAAATCATTGTAGAAATTTTGTTCTTGTGTCAAAAGACACGTGTAATAACAGAGAATGCCAGGTCATCGTAAACGGAGGCAGTTCAAGCAGACAGACGCTTTTACGAGGGGCATGGTGATCGGACTGAAAAGGGCAGGTTGGTCCATACGTCAAATCGCAGCTGATACACACCTTGGTGCGTCCACGGTGCACCGACTGTGTAGAAGATGGTTGGAACAAGGAAATGTGGCAATTTATAGGAATGCCGGTGCAACCAGAGTGACGTCAGCACGTGTGGATCGGCGTATCCTTCGACAAGCAGTGGCGGCCCCACAAGCCACTTGTACCGCCATCCTGCAACATGTGCAAGACACCCTAGATCATTCCATCTCGACCAGAACCATTTCCCGTCGATTGGTTGCTAATGGCTTGCACTCATGCCGTCCGTTAAGAAGACTGCCATTGACCCCACCGAATAGGCGCCAACGTTTGAATGGTGCCGGGCTAGATCGACGTGGATGACGGAATGGCACAGAGTCGTGTTCTCAGATGAGTCGCGTTTCTGCTTGTCCAGTGATAGTCGCCGTGTACGCGTGTGGCGTCGACGTGGAGAAAGGTCCAATCCGGCAGCAATTGTGGAACGCCCCACCGTGCGACAACGTGGAATCATGGTTTGGGGCGCAATCGCGTATGATTCCAGGTCACCTTTACTTCGTATTCAGGGCACTATGACGGCCCAACGATACGTTGATGATGTGCTGCGACCGGTGACACTCCCCTACCTTCAGGCGGTACCCAATGCCCTTTATCAGCAGGATAACGCCCGACCGCACACTGCTCGCATTAGCCAACAAGCTCTGCAAGATGTACAGATGATTCCCTGGCCACCGTACTCTCCTGATCTCTCACCAATCGAGCACGTCTGGGACATCATTGGACGCCGTTTGCATGCCTTGCCACAGCCGCGTTCAGAAGACGAACTGTGGCAAATGGTTGAGAGGGAATGGAGAGCCATCCCTCAGGACGCCATCCGTACTCTGATTGACTCTCTACCTAGACGTGTTGCTGCGTGCATCGCCGTCCGCGGTGGTCCTACTTGCTACTAAGCCGACGCCGTTCTCGCTCTGTATTATGACTATCATCTATATATATAAAATTGAATGTCTGTGTGTGTGTGTGTGTGTGTGTGTGTGTCCTCTATGGATTCAAAAACCATACATCCAATCGCCGTGTAATTTTGGGATATTATTAGGTGTATCTCCGGAAAGGTTTACGAAAAATAATTTCTTGAATATCTTTAATATCCTTAGAGTTATTTGCAGATTTGTAGCTTTAACTCGCAAGCAACGCCATCTTGCAACGGAGATCTGCCCCTCCCCCCCCCCCCCCCCCACCGTCCGGCCGCCGGCCAGTTGGTTGGACATTCCAAGTTCCCACCGACCAATCAGAGGGATCAAGAGCCCCCTCCCCCCCCCCCCCCCCGTCCGGCCGCCGGCCAATCACAATCAGAGTGATCAAGAGGTCCTGGCGCGCGGGGGGCGGGTGACCTCCGGGAACTACGTCCATCTTCCATAAACGACCATGATTTTATTCAACTTATCGAGTATTTTTCAAGGGACCGGGAAAATATGTTCACTAGATAAAACGATGATTTTGTAATGTAGAAAATTAGGAAAGACAAAATTCAGGATGACACGGCACACAGGGACCGGGAAAAAATAATCACTTTATCGAGAGAATCACGACCATGACTTTATTCAACTTATCGAGTATTTTTCAAGGGACCGGGAAAATATGTTCACTAGATAAAACGATGATTTTGTAATGTAGAAAATTATGAAAGACAAAATTCAGGATGACACGGCACACAGGGACCGGGAAAAAATGTTCACTTTATCGAGAGATTCAAATTTACGAGTTTCAAATTATTAAAAAATATATATATTTTTATACGTTTATAGAGAATTGTTTTACCAAATGTTCGTTAGACAAACCTTTACTCGTGTAAAACCTCGGGCGAAGCCGGGTACGTCCGCTAGTTTTGAAATAAAGATCACTTATTGTTCGTCCCTGTCTTTCTCTGTCTGCCGAGTTTCATCACTTTCTGGCCACTATTTCTTGGTGTTCCATTTTCAATGTCACGCAGTGTATGAGGTAACATGCTGTTATATACACTTCTACCCAATATTCAATAATCTTAGGTAGTGTAGTTGTCTATTAAAAGAGATTGTATGTTACATATTTGTATAATATTATTACAGAATTATCATAAGAACTAAAAACATCTCACGCTATATATTGATTACATCACAACAACCAAGTCCTTGGTCAAAACCATATATACATATTATATATTACAGATACTAAGCAATAACGCGCCATCTATACATATAAAATGAAAGGATTTAAAAGCACGAATGTTTCTTTTATACATAATACAAACTTCTACTGTCCTTACTGCGATGAAAAAAAAACATATTGGGAGGGTTAGGCTCATCAGTGGTGAACCCTCCCAGCGGTTTCGCCAATTTTATGCCTAACTGACCTTGTCTTTATTGTTTGCGGAAGAGCATTGCTCGATGTAAATATTTATATGTAATTCTACTGTCCTATAAGCTTATGTCCCTAATTTTCTTGAAAAACCATTTCTTAGATTCCATCCTTCAGTGTTGCATATAAAAGCAGAATGATCCAATACAGTATTAGAACTCTAAAGAAGCAGTCTGGTGGATTAAATTGGCGAAACCGCTGGGAGGGTTCACCACTGATGAGCCAGGCCCTCCCAATATATTTTTTCATCACAGTAAGGACAGTAGAAGTTTGTATTATGTATAAAAGAAACATTCAAGCTTTTATTATTACATATTACATATTACACACATAAAGCTTTATTAAGACCACCGATCTTATACAGATTCACCAAAGGAAGAAAGGAATCAAAGATGGAACTGCTGTATAAAGTCAGAATATAAAGTCTTACTTAATTAGTTCATTAAACACCCAGTTGTACAGTAGAAAGCCATCAGTTTCATTAAATTATTTCGAATATCAAATTTGCATCTTTATAAATTGTAAAATAAAAGGTTATCCCAAAAGTTCGTAAACACATTATAATTTTTCATGTGTTTTTTCATGTGTTAAGTGTATTTACGCAAGTTTGGCCTTAAATACTCATTTCTTGGGTTTTCAAGAAGCCTCTTGGACCAAAGTGGTCGCAGTGGTACAGCCTACTCCACGCTGACGAGAGCCAAAAGCGCGAAACGCGTTCGTGGATGGCTTTTCTTGATTTATCAAGAAATTGGGTTGGCCAAATATCAGGGAACAGGCTAAATCAATGTTTGGTTGATTTCTGTTCCACCAGATGGCGCTCTGCCTTCTGTAAAGCGCATGTGCTCCTGGTCAGGATATGCCATTTTTATTTTTGATATTATGATTTATATTTTGCAAGTGTTTACGAACTTTTAGGACAACCTTGTAATTCTGAAACTTGGCCCACCTACTGATTGGCCACCCTTGATATAGAACATCAGAGATTAAATCATTCTTCTATAAGAATTCTGTTATAATTTTACCAAGGTTACCAAGATTGTCTCAAAAGTTCGTAAACATGATTATTATTTTGCAAGTGTTTACGAACTTTTGAGGACAACCATGTATTTTTGTACCGCGGTACACCGATGTTACCCCCAGCTGACACCTGAGACCACACAGAGCGTCTCCTATCTGACCAGTGGAGCGCCAAGTCAGCTGAAGACCTCGATATCTCTGACCTTCAAGGCCTCGTGTGATAACTCTTGGCGCCTTTGTCAACATTGGACGTCACCTCGTCGTTTTGTTGTTTCTACGTGTGTACCGCATGTGTCCGTCGTACAGAATGGTACCCAACTCGAAAGCTGTTTTATTGTCGATGTTATTTATAAACATTTTTCAAGGACTAAAGAAACAGGGTTTTCCAATAGAAAGTCCTTTTATTTGTTTGTGATATTGGTTTTGTAGCTGAAATACACTCATGGGACAAAAGTAGTAAGTGGAAAGTCATTCATGTCACCTGTTGTCTGTTTGTTTGAAGAAGACAGAGGCTGTTCACACTTAGTTATCTCGTGTGTCTTCAATAAAGGTGTATAAAATATCTTTCAGAGTTATTGTCTCAATCCCGATATACATGCTAAAAGGTACAACTTCCTTAAGTTTTGTCCATGAGTGTAACTGAATGAAAAGCAGGGGTAGGGTAGATCTAATACAGTGGGTAAGTGGCATCAAGACATTTTTGATTTCTGTAAGGAGTTCTATACGTGGGATAGATGTATATGGGGATTTCTCAACGCTCATTCGGCGGTTTGTACTTATTGGGGTTTTCTGTATTGCTGTGGTGATTGGATGGTGTACGGCAATATCACGTAGACACGGTCTGGATGAAGTCTAACTACATCTACACCACAGCACCGTAGGTACTGTAGACACATGTCGTCTGACAATGGCCTTGGCCCTGAAACCGAAATAGCCCGGTGGCGTCTGCTACATAGGGCGGTCGACGCCAGAGAATGTGTCGTCTGCTTTTTTACTTTCCCCGACTTTGGGTCTGATAATACCTCGGGTATCTACCTCACTTTCCTGGCGTCTCACACTACACTCATGGACAAAGGAAGTTGTACCTTTTACCATGTGTATCGGGATTGTGACAATAACTCTGAAAGATATTACAGTGACCTTTATTGAAGACACACGAGATAACTACACTCATGGACAAAGGAAGTTGTACCTTTTACCATGTATATCGGGATTGTGACAATAACTCTGAAAGATATT